TGGCCAGGTCAGGCCTGACAGGACCTTGTCTGTGATAATAAATCAAAAACCAAACTCAGTGCAGTTGAGTCAATTTCAATTCATAGCAACTACTCCTTGGGTTTCTGAGGTGGTATCACTATGGAAGTAGATTGCCCAACCTTCCCTCCTAGCAGTGGCTGGTGGGTTTGAACTACCAGCCTTCTGGTTGGCAGCCAGATGCTTTAGGCACTACGCTACCAGAGCTCCTGTCCCTGATAATTCTGAAAGCAGTAGTGGGAGGCCTTTGGAAGCTTTTGATTAGGGGAAGAAGCGGACTGTTCACTCTGGCTGCTGAATAGAGAGAGTGGACTGGAGGAGGCAGGACTGGAGGCAGGGATAGTAACTAGTTTATTAGGCCAGTAGGCTGTCCAGTCAGGAAAAGATGGATTATGGTGGTAGCATTGTAGACAAACTGTGAGAAGCTGCCGTCTGGAAGTCACCAGGTGTAGGGGAAGGTGCTCAGTGGGGGAGGGGGACACAGAGAAGCTCCCACTGGAGCTGGAGTAGGCAGAGTCCTGTCTGAGAAGACCTATCTAAAAGGACCAGCAAACAATGACAGGCTCTGCAGACAACTGCAGACTGAGAGAGTCTGGCTCCTTCAAAATACAGTCAAGGGAATGGAAAGGTAAACTGAGGAGTTCTGGAGCATTTGTGTCATCCCATGTCACTCTGGTCCCTGCCAGGCTTATGTGTTTCCCGTCTAAGACTGCCACTACACCCATGCCTGCCCTGGCCCTCTGGGCCAGCTGTCCCTCTTCTACTCTAGGTACTCCAAGAGAGAGTTATGTGGGTCCCTGTTTTTCTTCCTTTAGGGAAGGGTTATATGTTTGTTACAGTATGGTGAGCTGGGGCTTTGGAACCTGCCTGGCTCCATCCCCAAGTCATTCTGTGACTTTTCAGTCTCTTAACCCTCTGAGCCTCCATTTTCCCATCCCTAAAATGGGGATGATAATGTCATCTGTCTCACGGGATTGTTTTAAGATTAATAGTGCAATGATGACTAACCTCACTGTCCACTGTGTGTCCAGCCTGTGCAAGCAGTTTACAGTCATCTCCTTTCATGCACACAGACTTGTAAGGTGGGACTGTCACTAGCACCATTTTGCAGATGAAAAAATGGAGGCTCAGAGATGGTAGGTGACTTGCTTAATGACATAAACCTCCAGAGCCACTGGGCCCTGGAGGTGCTTGGTAAGGTGAGTTCCCTCCTTTCTCCCTGCAAGGATCACCCTCTGTTCTCTGTACTTTTAGCTGTCACTCCCTGCATCGGTGGTCCCCTTGGGCCCTCCTGTCCTTGGGTGCTCTGCCCTGTTATCCTTCTTCTCTCTACTGCATTCCCTTCCCTCTCCTTTGCTGCTGGTTCCTTCCCCTCAGCATTTAAACATTGCATCTTTTTTTTTTTTTTTTTTTAGCTTTTTATTGTAATTTGGGTGAAAGTTTACAGAGCATATTAGTTTTCCATTCAACAGTTTATACACATTTTTTCATGACATTGATTGCAGTCTCCTCGATGGAACAGCACTCTTCCTGCTTCTTCTCTGGTTTCCCTGTCTCTAGTCATCCTTCTTTCCTGCCCCTTCTTACCTTCTGATCTTTGTTTTTGGGCAAATGTTGCCCTTTTGGTCTTGTATAGTTGATTGATTTGAGGAGCACATTCCTCCTTGGTGTTATTATTCACTTTATAGGCCTGTCTGTTGCTTAGCTGAAAGATGATCTCTGGGGTGGGTTCAGTTCCGGGGCTTGAAGGGTATAGGGGCCACAATCTCAGGGGTTTCACCAGTCTCTCTCAGACCAGTGAGTCTGGTCTTCTTTATTATGATTTTAGGTTTTGTTCTACCTTTTCTTCCCCCTCCCTTTTCTGTCTAGGACCTTCTATTGTGATCCTGATCAGAATGGTTGATAGTGGTAGCTGGGCACCATCTAGTTCTTCTGGTCTCAGGGGAGTGGAGACTGGTTCACGTGCTCCCTTAGTCCTTGGACTAATTGTTTCCGTGGGTCTTTGAATTTCTTACCCCTTCTTTGCTCTGGGTGGGGAAAGACCAATAGTTGCTTCTTACTTAGCTGGCTTCTTGCAAGCTTTTAAGATCTCAGCCACTACTCACCCAAGTAGGATGTAGAATAGTGTCTTTGTGGACTGTGTTATGCCAGTTGATATAGACATCCCCCAAGACTGTGGTCCAAAATCCCCAAGTCCAGTGACTCATTCCTTCAAAGTATTTGGTTGTGGCCAAGAAGTTTTCAGTTCCTGTCTAAAAGGAACTGAAAGTTTTCAGAACTTTGCTCCCTGTATACTCTACCATAACCTGGGATCCCTTTGCAGCACATACAAATTCATACGTAGAAATACCCTGTGCCAAACCTGTATATACTCAACAGTATACTCCTGTTCACCTATTCACATGTCTGCCTATTTGTCTACCCTTAGATATTGTTTGTTACTACTATTATTGCAGGATCATGTGTATAATAGTATTTACCTTTGTTGCTTTTCACCCTTCTGCACTGCCCAGTGTCCTCCCTTGCCTTGGTCATTTTGTGCTGTAAACACTGTGTCTTAAGAAAAAAGAAAACAAAAAATTTAAAACCTTTTTCCAATCTCCATCCCTTCCAGCTGTCGCCATTTCTTTATTTTCCTAGTCACAGCCAGTCTTCTCTAGTCACCTCACTCTCAGCTCTACTCCCTCATCCCTCTCATTCCCCACTAACCACTGACACTGTTCTGGACAAGGTCCCCCACAGTTCCATGTGAACAACGTTGTGCCAGATGTTTTGGAGTCAGATGGTTCTGAGTTGTGCCTGTCACTGGCTGTGCGACCTTGGGCAAGTGACTTGACCTCTCTGAGCCTGTAAACTGGGGATAATAATGATGAAGGACTGAGTGAGATAACAGACATGAAGTACCTGGCACAGAGTGGGTGCTTGGCAAAAGATTGTTGTCGATGAACACACGTTTCTGTGCCAGCCTGGGATCGTTGGCACCAAGCAGGTGGTCTGAAAGGTCATTTCTCACGGTATCAGCCCTTCCTAGAGCTGTTCATTGATCTGACTAATCAGAAATGGATCCGCTGTCAGGATTAACAAGGTGTTGCTATGTCTTAATGAAACCAGATTTCTCTGTTTTGTGACCCTGGGTAGTGGAATTCACAGGATGCGCCCACTTGGACCTGGTGTGTACACCAACGTGATATGGGTATGGCAGGTACAATGGCTAAACTCCCTTCTCTATACCCCTCCCCCACCTCCCTGTGGACACTTTGGGGAGCTGGCCAGGCTGTCAGAAGGCAATAACCAAGCCTGTGGGGCAGGAGTAGGGATGGGCAGCTTTACAGGAAAGCACTCACCTGGGAAGATATCCAGAGATACTTAGGAGCTGGAATGTCTAGGCCTCTGGGACTGCTGGTATGTAGGGGCTGAGGGAGAGGAGGAGTCACAGTTCTGAGTTGAGCCTTGAGCCGTGGGGTGACTGGAGGTGCCATCACCTAGATGGAGAGCAGTGGAGGCGGAATGAGTCTGGAAGGGCGGTGCTGGGGCTCTTCCCCACAGCTCTCCACCATGGCTTTGTCCTAGAGCTTGGAATTGAAAGAGGATGGGAGGCAGATGGGGAGCCGTGGTGGTGCAGTGGTTAAAGCGCTCTGCCAGTAACCGAGAGGTTGGCAGTTCAAACCTACCAACTCTAAGGGAGAAAGTTGTTGCCATCTACTTCCATAAATATTTACAGCTTTGGAAACCTTATGGGGCAATTCACTTCTTTCCTATAGGGTGTATGAGTCAGAATCAACTTGACAGCATGGGTTGGGTTTGGTTTTTTGATAAGAGACAGAAAAATATTTGTTATAGTGTGGACTCCAGACTCAGAACGTCTGGGTTCAGATCTCAGCTCCGCCATTTACCAGCTGTGTCATGTTGGACAAAAAATCCCTTCATTTCTCTGTGCATTGATTTTCTTCTCTATAAACAGAGATGGTATAGCACCCACTTCCATGGTTAAGTAGGGGCAGTGGTAGCTGGGTGATAGAATTCTTGCCTTCAGTATGGAAAACGTGGGTTCAATTCCCAGCTCATGTACCTTGAGCACAGCCACCACCTGTCCATCAGCAGTGTTTTGCGTTTTGCTGTAATGCTGAACAGGTTTCAGTAGAGCTTCTGGACTAAGACTAGGAAGAATGGCCTGGTGAGCTACTTCTGAAAAGTCAGCCAGTGTGAACCCTGAGTCACAGCGATCCGATCCCATTATACATGGGTGTCATGAGCTGGGGGCCAACTCGATGGCAGCTAACATCAACAGCATGTGCATAAGGAGTCCCTGAATGGTGCAGACAGGTAACAAACTTGACTGCTAACCAAAAGGTTGGAAGTTCTGCTCCATCCAAAAATGCCTCAGAAGAAAGGCCTGGTGATACACTTCTGAAAAAATCAGCCACTGAAGACCCTATGAAGTGTAGTTCTACTTTGACACACATCACATACGGGGTTGCCATGAGTCTGAATCAACTTGATAGCAACTTTTACATGTACGTAGGTGTATATATATAAATATATATATATATATATATGTATATGAGTATATGTACATATGTGTATGCACATATATGTGTGTGTATATATATGTTTTTATATTGTTGTTGTTAGGTGCCGTCGAGTCGAATCCAACTCATAGAGACCCCTCCTGGGTTTCTGAGGCAGTATCACTATGGAAGTAGATTGCCCCATCTTCCTTCCGAGGGGTGGCTGGTGGGTTTGAACCACCAGCCTTCTAGTTAGCAGTCAAGTGCCTTAGGCACTGTGCTACCAGAGCTCCTTACATTTTTATATATGTAAATTTAATTTTTCTTAAAGAGTTAACAAATACTTGAATAGCGCACATAGTGAGCACTACAAAAGTGTTAGGTGCAGTTACTATTCTGCATAAGACTTTCTTGTCCCTCTCCCCGCTCCTCCCATGACGACCAGAAATGACCTCCTGTCTCCATCTTTTCCAGGCAAGCCTGTCTTCATTAAGGTCCCTGAGGACCAGACTGGGCTGTCAGGAGGTGTAGCCTCCTTCGTGTGCCAGGCCACAGGGGAGCCCAAGCCACGCATCACATGGATGAAGAAGGGGAAGAAAGTCAGCTCCCAGCGCTTTGAGGTACGTGCTTAGTTAGGTGGGAGGGGGCAGAGGCAGAGGCAGGGCTCAGGGTTTCACTATTCTGGGGGCTGATCCTCTATCCTCTCCCTTTGGTCTCCTTCCCTGAGGGAGAACCACTGACCCTGAGCAGGCTCTTGTGTCCTGAGCAGGCTGTGACTACACGTCTGTCCTCCGGCAGGTAATTGAGTTTGACGACGGGGCAGGGTCAGTGCTGCGGATCCAGCCGTTGCGGGTGCAGCGAGATGAAGCCATCTATGAGTGCACAGCCACCAACAGTCTGGGAGAGATCAACACTAGTGCCAAACTCTCTGTGCTTGAAGGTATGTGCTGAGGAGGGACGTGGGCAGGTAGAGTGATACACAGAGAGTGCCAGGCAGCCCTCTTCCTGCCCTGGGCATTTTGGGAGAAAAGAGGACTAGACTAGCACTTCTAGGGTCAGCAGTGAACAGTGGGCACTGTTGGATCTGGCTAAAGTTCCTTGGCTTGTGCCCTGGGTGGCTGTGTGTAAGGTGTCCATGTTCTTATGCTGAGCCGGCCCATTCCTCAGGTAGGGTCTGGGGTCTGACTTGGGGTGTGGTGCTGTAGCTCAGTGTTCTTTGGGTTCCATGGCTGCTGGCAGAGGATCTGATATGCCGCAGGAGCCTGTCTGTAGGCTTTCCTTCAGACAGCTTTGTTCTCTGTTGCCTCTATGATTGAGGACCCTAGGCTGGGGTCTGGGCTCTAGATTGTAATGCCTCGCCTCACTTACGGCTCTTCTGTTCATTCACAAACATTCCCAGATGATGCCTTGAAGTCCAGAGGGTCATTTAACTGGGACCTCACCCTCAAGGTGCTCATGGTCTCCAATAAGCCCTGCAGAGGGGCATCACAAAGGGCTGCTGAAAGGAGGGAGTTAATACCTGAGGACAAGTGGAAGTTTGTAAGAAAAAGGAGGATTTGGTAGAAGGAACAGCATGTACCAAGGCCCAAAGACAAGAGAAGATAGAGCTTTCAAGGCATCTAGTTCATTCACAGAGGGAAGCAGGGAGAACAGGTTACCATGAGCCTGAAAGAGGTTGGAAGACAGGTTGCACCAAACCAGACTGAGGCATGAAAACTTTCTGGGGACATAGGAACTACCAATGGGCTTGTTAGAGGGGGAAGTGGCAGGAGGAGACCCAGCCCTGGTGGCTTCATTCATCCAGATATGTCTGTGTATGCATTAAAAAAACAGCATTTGATTGTTACTTTATAAATTACGGTACTCATACCTATTCATTCAAAAATTTGTAAAGTATAGATTAATACATAGGAGAAAATGAAAATCATCCATGATCCTACCTCTGTTATTAACATTTGGTTATTAACTTGTAGTCCATTTTATGTGTCTGTCTATCTCTGTCTGGAGTCCCTCGGTGATGCAAATGATGAGTGTGCTTGGCTGCTGACTAAAAGGTTGGAGATTTGAGTCCATCCAGAGGTACCTGGGAAGAAAGGCCTGGCAATCTGATTTCCGAAAAATCAGCCATGGAAAACCCTGTGGAGCACAGTTGTACTGTGACACACGTGGGGCCGCCATGAGTTAGAATGGACTTGGTGACACGTGCTTTGGCAGTTTTTTGGTTATATAAGGCCAGACTTCACTTCTTGTTCTTTGAACATGTTGTCAGGAGGGACCAGTCCCTGGAGAAGGATAAAGTGGAGGGTTAGCAAAAAAGGGGAAGACCTTCAACAAGCTGTATCAACACAGTGGCTGCGGCAGTGGGCTAAAGCATGGCAGTGATTGTGAGGATGGCCTAGGACAGGGCTGTGTTTTGTTCTGTTGTACATAGTGTTGTTGTGAGTTAAAACTGACTCAGAGCACCTAACAACAACAACAGTAAGAAACCCTGGTTAAGCACTCAGCTACTTACCAAAAGATTGGTATTTCAAACCCACCCAGTGGTTCCATGGGAGAAAGACCTGGAAGATCTGTTCCCGTAAAGGTTATAGAAAAGAAAACTCTATGGGACAGTTCCACTCTGTCACAGGGGTTGCCATGAGTCAAACTCAACTTGATGGCAACTAACAACAGCAACATCTATATATGTATAGTAAAAATATGATCACTTTCTGCCCAGTGATTCATACCTTGCTTTTTTTTTTTTTTAAACTTAATTTATTGTGAACATCTTCTTGCCATTAAATATTCTTCTACATCATTATTTTTAATGGCTGTGGATAAACAGTCATGTGGAAGTACCCTAATTTATTTAGCTGTTTCCTATTGCATATGCATTGTTCGCAGTTTTTGGCTTTTATACATAAGGTGCTGTATGTATCAGTGTTGATAAATGTGTTCACCTTCCTGATTATGTGTTTATTCCAGATTCATGGAAGTAGAATTGCTGGGTCAAAGGGCACATGCATTTTTAAACCTTTCACTTATTTCCAGAAGATTGTGTTAGTTTACGCTCCCGCCAGCAGGGCATAAGAAGGCCTCTTTTTTGTACATCCTCACCAGCAGTGGGAATTATCATTAAAAATAAAAAATCTTTGCCAAGTTAATAGGCAAAAAATGGCATCTCAATTTAATTTGCATTTCTTTGATTATAAGAGCAGTTGAACATATTTTCACATTGGCCGTTTTTATGCTGTGGTTTTATGTCTTCACACGTGCATCCATTCAGTAACTCTTTTGTGTCTGTGTGTCTCATTTGAGTTGGTGGGCTCTGCAGCACAGAGAGACAGTGGAGAGCAGTGGTCAAGAGCATGGACTCTCGACCCCTTTACTCACTCACTATATGGCTTCGGGGAAGTGACTACTCCTGTGAGCATCATTTACCCCATCTGTAAACAGGGATGTAACACCTGCCTCCCAGTCTGGGGTGTACTTAAGCACTTTACTGGATTCCATCGTAAATAGTATCTGCTGGTGGGTTGGAAGCTGTACATCCTGAGGCCTAAACATGTGATCTTGCAGTACTTGGCTTCTATGCTAGCTGGGATCATTTGGGTGGTCTTCCCCCCCACTGCCCATACTCACACAGGGACGCATCTGTGGGGTTGGAGCCCAGAGGATAGGCCCTGGACCAGAATCTCTGATTGCTTAGTGCTCTCTGTTACCCCCAACCTAAGTTTCCCTACAGCTTACAAGTATTTTAGCCCTGCCCTACCTCCTGTTGGCATCTACCCCAGCAGGGAGCCATCTGCCCACCCTAGCATTTGAGAGGTAGCTGAAGGACTAGAGCTATGGTTCCTGCCCTGGAAGGAATCCTTTCAGACTCTCTAATTGGGGGAAAAAGGGCCTCCTTGTTATGTTGGAAGAATTTTAAAAAAACCCAAACCTATTGCCATTATGTCATTTCTGAGTCATGGTGACCCTGTGGGTTACAGAGTAGGATTACTCCATAGTGTTTTCTTCACTATAATCTTACACAAGCAGATTGCCAGCTCTTCCTTTCACAGTGCCACTGGGTGGGTTCGAGCCATTGCCCTTTCAGTTAGTAGCCAAAAACAAACTGTTTGTTCCACCAGTGAGGGTGGGGTGTAACTCACTGCCATGGAGTTGATTCCAACTCATAGTGACCCCCTTTGGGAATTCTCCCCCAAATCCCCTCTCCCTCAGCTTTGACCCTGACACTTTCCAGTCATCTTTGGATCCTGAGCACTCTCTTCCCTCACCGTTGCCCTTGACAGCTTTATCTTTTAAAAGGGTGAGGAGGGTGAGTGTGGTCTCTCAGGCCCTACAATGAGAGAGGTTCACACTTGGTAGAGGTCTCTTCATTTGGAAGATCCTTCTTAGATGAGGTTTTCTTTGTCAGGGGCTTGGAGTGTTTGTGCTTCTGGGGTATATGTGGGGGCTTCTGATGAGGCCAGGGAGAGGGTAGGGGCAGCTCCTTGTCCTCCCCATGCTCCCAGTGTGAGGGTGGAGCAGTAGGCCTGAAGGAGCCCCTCCCATTCCTGAAACATAGCACCCGGAAGACTAACTGCTGACTTACCCTGTTGGTCTGTGTAACCTTGACCAACTCTGGGCTTGGCAGAAGGGAGTGGAGCGGGAGGCCTCATAGATGCCAAGGGGTGGAGCCAGAGGGAAGCAGCCTAGCCTAACCAGCCCTGCCCCACCCCACCCCACCCCCATGAAGGCCAGGAAAACTGGGGTGTGTGTAGGAACAGGGTGAAAGGATGGTATGACTGGAGCTCTGGGGTGGGGCCAGAGGAGAGCCAGGCCATTCCTAGGAGGCTACCACAGAGTCTAAGGAGCATGAGGAGAGGATGAAGCTGGTTTGAGGAATCAAGAGTCAGTCCCTTCCCCATGCCATACACGTTGTAGGCACTTCCAAAGGCCCATGCTCACCACACACAGGGCTCTTTGGGAGAGGACCCTAGCTGTCTGGGAAACCTGAGCACAGGTAAGGGATCGGCACACCCACAAAAGAGAACCTGGACATTCAAGTTCATTTGCATGTACTCTGCCCTTGCCTTGTCCCATGCCAGGCCCAGCTTCTGTCACACACAGGTCCCTATCCCAGGCCCTGCTCCACTGCAACCTCTGTGACCCACCCACTCTTTCTCTTAGCCTTTGCACCCCATACCCGATGTGGCCCTACAAGGCCCCGACTGCCCTGTGATGCCTACCTCTTCACCCCTGCCCTGGCTGGTGCCCAGCACCAGCTGGCTGGGGGTAAGCCCGTCCTGAGCTGTGACGAGCACAGGGCCCCGCCGCCCAGCGTTCCTGTCTGAGTGGTAATTGAAGCCATTAGCGCGCCAGCCTCTCCCTCGCCGGGTAATGGCAGGAAAAGCTCTTCTTGCTCTGCACTCTTGAGGCGGCGGCTGAATCACTCCCCCTCCAACCCACCCGCCGCCACTGAGACAGGGAATCTGACATTTTCCCTCACCAGGGAGGGGGAGCAAAGGGGGAGGGGAGGCAGGCCTTTCTCTCCGGCAGGTGAGAGGGACATCTTGGAGCTCCATCAGGAGGTTGTGGAGTCCTCAGGGGAGGTGGGTTCCAGGCCAGGCAAGACTGTGATCAAGAAAGCCCCAGGAAGAGGCCAGACAGCCAGAGGTGTGGGTGGGGTTCTGGTGACTTTGGTAGATTCTGGAAGGGACGAGGAGAAGAAGAGAGTCACTAAGCAGGGATGGCTGTTTCTGACTTTGTTCAAGGGAGCTTGGCTCAGAGGGCTCCAGGTTGGGCAGCAGTGCTTGCCTTGTGCTGAGTGGATGTAGCAGATGACATGTCCCCGTGTGTGGTATAAACACCATGAGCAGTGTGGAAGGCAGTATGTGTATCAAGTGTGTGGTGCTGTATGGACAGCAGGAGCTATGCAGCAGGGAGTGTGTGTGTATGTGTGTGTGATGTCGT